AAAAAAAAAAAAAAAAAAAAAAAAAAATACTTTTCTAAAAAATTCCGGAAAAAAAAAATGGTATGGAGAAAAATAAACTAAACAACATTTTTTATTTTTATTTTTTTAAACAAACGCAACTTCGTTTAAAAACCGGGAACCGGGCCCGGCGTCCCTCACATAGATGCTGCAGCCATCATGGGCTAAGAAAGGCACTCCCGACCAACCCTATCCCCACCACAGCCATCTAGCTATCGAGACCCCGGCCCCCCCAGTACTATCAGGTCTCAAGTTGCTAAAAGGAACAAAGGCCCAAACTCAAAGAAGAAGGCTATCACCCCAGAGAGGTCAAACAATGATTACTCGAATTTACTCAAGCCACTAAAAGTACTCAAGATTATTCGAATTTACTCAAACCGCTAAAAGTACTCAAACCCTATTTAATAGTCAAACCGTAATTACTACTAACCAGTCATCAAAAACGGGCACAACTTCCCAAAACCAATTCAAGTGTACTATACTTCCAGCAAACCAATCAAATTTCTCTTCTCCCTACTTCAGGCCAACCAATAAAGTTGCTATCGCCGGATACCAAGTTAGGGCAGCGAGTCAACGGCCATCGTGCAATAAACAGCCCAATTGCCACAAAGCCAGTCGAAATCCCACACAATCCTCAATTCAACGTTTCCACACGAAAAAACGGCGAACCGCAGCTGATCACAGCCAGTAAAGCAATAAAGCAAATCAACACCAAATCCCTACAATCCACGACATCACCGCTGTATACCCCGCTGGCACCCATAGTCGGTATCCCCTATAAACCCATTCCAAACCTATATAGCCTAACAATTAGTCTAAAAGTCGTGTCGTTCATAAACAGAGTCAATAACCCGTCAAAGATCTGAAGACTAGGAAGTCGCGAGCAACACCACGTCCGAAGCAGGAGCATCGGCTAAAGTGGACAAACCCCGGTCGAGGCTGAAGCCCTGTGTCAGCAATTCACCAACAGCTCTGGGCGATACCAATCGCAGCCAGAAGTCCCTCATCCAGTCTCCCGGATGTTGACGCTTGTCGATGTACTCTCCTCGTTCATCTCCAGCTCTTCACTCGGATGAAATTGCATCCGTGGCCACCACACAACAGTGTTACGTATCTGCAACCAGTGGGCAAAGCCCCTGATCGGTTGATAATTCTGATATGTACGGTGCGCAGATCCTGCCCGTCGGCCGTCCCCACATCTCTCCCGTTCCTCCCACGGCCAATCTAGGATTACCAACTAGCGTTGGCCAAGACCAGGCTATGGCAGGTGCATGGTTGTGCTCCCTCGAAGCGGCCTCCACCTCAGCGCCCACACGCCCAATCACCCCATTGCCTGGGCACTACATCCAAATTCTTTACCAAATTTGAATTAAAAATCAAGTAGAGAATATAAACTCTATGATAAAAATAAGAAAAAATAAAAAGAGAATTAAGATGAGTGAGTGTGCCAGCACCTTTTCGACACCGCCATCTCTGCCGATTTTTAATTATTTTTTGGCATTGACAAATGCCCTGAAATTTTACAGATATGTAGTTTACATAATCAAGAACTCATTAAAATTTTTTCAAAAAATAATAATTTTTTTTAGGCCCCGAAATAAAGTGAAAACAAAAAATTAAAAGTGAAAAAAAACAAAATAGTGAGTGGGCAAGCACGTTTTGACACCCCCATCTTTGACGATTTTTAATGTTTTTTTGGCTTGGCAGAATGGCTTCAAAATTTATAGGCGTGTAGGTTACATCATAAAGAACTCACAAAAAAACAATTCAGAAAAAAAAACTTGTTTTTAAGCCCCGAAATTTGTTTTGGCGGGGGCCGAACCTGGATCCCGAACGGGACCCCGAACGCCCGAACGTTCGGGGGCCAGTCCGGCAGCCCCCGAACATCCAGTCAGGTAACCCTGATAATAATAATAATAATATAATGATTTTTGATGTAGATCGAGGGCGGACCAATCCTAGCTACAATTGATTGGGTGGTAGTGTGGTGGGTAGGGCACGGGTAAATTGATGCTGATGATGATGATAGGGGGGGGAGAAGTCGTGCAGGGGGGGGACACAGACTCGGGGGAT